AAGCTTTGCTCATTTATATTTTTTGTGAAATGTTAGTGCTAGTGTTTAGCATACAAAGGAGTCAATTAGTAGATCTTGTGACCTTACCCGATTTCACCTTTCCTTGAATTAGCGGGAAAAACGTATTTTTTACTAGTACCATGAATATCGATGGTGCTATTTTTATCATAAACATTATAATTACTATCATGTTATAAACATTAGTAACAGTAAAATAAGATATTTTCGTAAATCAAGGAAAAGGGTGAACTGGCGAGACAGCCAGTACTCGTAATTGGCTCATTGGCGACTAAGTACAAGTGTAGCCATCTATGTGTTAAAACAATTAAACAAGTAAACTCACTGTGGGCATGGCATGGGCGTACGTGCCATGCAATGGTTTAATTGACGGATCTGTGAAACCGAATGTTAAAAAAAAGAAGTCAGACATGAACAAAATTCACTTGATAGTAAATAATTATACATATATCTACCTATCTATGTGTAGGTATATAATTGTATATATATACACACATACGTGTGTGTGTATGTATGTGTAAGTATATATGCATATATAAATTATCCTCAAGGATTCCATCCTCAGGTCTGACCTGAAGATGGAATGCAGGAGGATTTCGAAACTTTTGCGTCGCTTTCAGGAAATCTAGTTTGTGTTCTGTGGATTTTTCTACCATAGTATCAACACGGTAGAGCGTTTTATCATTCATATATATATATATACATGCACACACACATATATACATATATATCTATATGTATATGAACACACACTCACATACACACACACACATGCACACACATATAGAAGTATATATATATATATACATATATGTAAATATGAAAAGGAGTAATTGATATCGATGTGTATTGAATGAACTTCATTTTGAAAATAAACGCGGCCAAATCCGAGTCAGCGTGACGTTAAACTCAACATCTTAATCGCAAAAAAAATGTACTTTTGTTTAATTAGGGCTAAGATATCAAGTTTTCGTCGTAAGTACTGACCACTTGGCGAGGGTAGGATCTCCTGGCTTACTGAATGTGGCTTTCATTGTCAGTACCTTTGCGTTTCGCTTTGATTTCTGGAATTTGTCTAGGACTAGAACTTCGCCTGGAGGATTTAGGATCAACCATTGCGAACAGAACTTGAGTTTAAGCAATGTGGCCGGGTTTCTGGTGTTGTCACCGAGTATCATGAATGATACAATGAGCGGTGATAGAATAAGCAAAGCCTTGAATAAAACACGAATCTTAACTACGACTGCTCATAAGTTTTGGTATTATGTCACTGGTTGGTATTATGTGCATAAAACTATATAGTCATGAATAGAATTCTGAATTATTTTCAAATATATGTGTGAATTCTGAAGCGAACGTCATGGAAATCCCAGTTTTCAAGGGTAAAGGATTGTCATTGTACACATTTCCATATTTATTGGAATGGCATTTTCATTAAAACAGCTAAACAAATTATGCTATGAATCCAGGCTTTCTCCCGCCAGGTTCCACACAGCGACCCGCGAGCCAGAGCGATTTCGGAGGGACGCTCGAGGGACGCGTGCAGGGTCCGGTGTGGGCGCCTGTCGGTGGGTCGGTTGGCTCCGGATGGGCTCACTTCCTGCCGAAACGATCCTCGAAGGAGTCGGAACGATCCTCGAAGGAGTCAAAGATATCCTCGAAGGAGTCGAAGGATCCCTGGTTGCCGTCGGCGGCGACGCCGTTGGTGACGGGCACGGCGTTGGACTCGACGACGCGGTATCCGTTATTGTCGGCGATGTACTTGACGAAGAACTTGTCTCCCTTGGGGGACGTCCAGCTGGAAGGGAAGGCAGGCGTTGAGAACGAGGCTCGGCGCCGTCTGGTGTGAGTGTGTTCAAAGGACGCAACGGGAGGGAAGGCCTCTTACCTGTAGGTTCCCTGCACCACCCGGTTGGTGATATCCTGGTCAATGTGGAAGTCATCGAAGTCCAGGTCCACGACGCTGCCGGGGCGGGCGGCGGCCACGGCCACGAGGGCGAGGAGAGCAAGCTGGGGAAAGAGCTTGTGGTGGGTATGGCTCGAACGGAAGGAGAAAAGGATATACAATTAGGTATCTCAACGACGCAGGCCAGGAGATCAAGCGGAAGTTTACGATTTAGAGATTTAAAGCATTTAAATGTGTTGGTGTACACATATACACAAGATCTTTTTGTAGCATCCCGAATGTCACAGTCACAGAGTATTGTGCTCTGACTGGCTGGCCGGAGTGCATCACTTTGTAGCAAAGTAGAGGCTTACAAATTGATACAAGCCGAAAAATGCATCAACAGGTTCCATTAATGTGCACTTATAGGGCAAACATGTATCAAAGTGTATTAGTGAGTTTCGGAAATGCTACAAAAAAGTCCTACGTACACATTGATATGATGTGATGATGCAGGCCAATATCACTCATCCTTTTGCTATTTCAAGAACCTACTACTAGGAAACAGTATAAGAATCATCCAAAATGTGAGATGTAGTCTTGATCGATATCCAATCATACTGAAGAGTAAGAATTCATGTACTCTGTGTATCTTTATCTATTTCTGAAGTTGATGTTTTCACTTGACCAAAACATATGAAGCCATAACTTACAGCGAACTTCATCTTGACTGCTGAGTGTTGTACTGACTTGTCCCAGGCGAATGTGACTTTTATAAGGAGGTGTGTGGCCACGCCTTCCTGCCACGACTCGATCGTCTGCTTGAAGCAGACCTCGGCCTCGTACCAGGCCTGACCTTGCACTTGCTGTGCTATCAATTGATTGCAAATACGAAGGCGTTCTCCGTTGGACAGTTACGGAATATCAGAAAAGTCGGCTTTTTGTTCATCTTTTGTTATATACATTGTTCTATCTATGTGTCGGTGATTTATTGTTATTATACTTGATGTCTTATTACGTAATGCTTATGCGATAAAGTATGCAAAACTCTGGCATTGGAGTTGACAGTGAAATCAACTTGTTTGTAAACTGATGTGTTCAACGCAAGACAGGGATTCTTAGACAAAACATTCATTATTGCGAAAAGGCGATTTCTAAACTACGCTTAAAGAATAAATAATATGACAAAAAAAATAGATATCATTTTTTTATTGCAGAAATAAGAAATGATATAAAAAAGGCAATATATTAACAGATTGACTGAGATATGTGAAATGGAAGGGGGTATAAGGAAACATCACTAAAAGAGGAAATCTATAACACATTTACTCCCATGCACACACACACACTCAAACATACCATCCTCACATACATATTCACACGTACACTCACTAACGCACACACACAAACATTCACACGCACACTTTCGCACGCACACGCACACTCACGCACGCACACGCATTCACAAGCACACTCACGCACGCACACATTCAGACGCACACTCACGCACGCACACACATTCACACGTACACTCCCCCTCTCCCCTTCACGCAGAGAAACGAGCAATCACGACTTTCTAAGAATATAAAAACCGTTCAAGAAAAATAAGCATCTTTGATATCCATTCAGAGAGCGATATCCACAACGGTATTTAAAGATCTCATTCTCTGTTTCCTTGCAGCTAAATGTACATGAAATCCTGTTCTGTACATCTTAAAAAATACGAGGACGTTGATATACTGATAGTAAGATCGATAGTTTGAAAAATAAACAGACACATAGATGTATTCGCTTACATATACGCTCAGATGGACATTCCCAACTGATGCAATACGTGTGCCATATGTAAGTCGTATCTGAAGTTGATTTCATTTTATTCAGAAATCAAAAGAAAATAAAATTTAATTCATAAATACGAAATATTTCAATTGACGGATCTGTGAAAACGAATCTTAAAAAAGAAGTCAGACATGAGCAAAATTCATTTGATAGAAAATACTTATACACATATCTACCTATCTATCTATGTGTAGGTATATAATTGTATGTATACACACACATGTGTGTGTCTATGTATGTGTATGTATATTTATATGCATATATAAATTATACATATATATGATAGAAAATCCCCCAATGCACAGACTAGATTTACTGAAGAAGAGATCAGAGCTTCGAAATCCTCAGGTCTGACCTGAAGATGGAATGCAGGAAGATTTTGAAACTTTTGTCTCGCTTTAAGTAAATCTAGTTTGTGTACTGTGTTTTTTTCTACCATGGTATCAACACGGTAGTGTTTTATCATTCATATATATATATATATACATACATGCACACACACACACATATACATACATATCTATCTATATATATATGAACACACTTACATACACACACACATAGAAGTATATATACATATATATATATATACAAATATATACGTATGTATGAATATGAAAAGGAATAATTGACATCGATGTGTATTGAATGAACTTCATTTTGAAAGTAAACGCGGCCAAATCGGAAGCGTGACGTTAAACTCAAAATCTTAATCGCAGAAAATGTACTTTTGTTTAATTAGGGCTAATATATGAAGTTTCCGTCGTACGTACTGACCGGTTGGCGAGGGTAGGATCTCTTGGCTTACTGAATGTGGCTTTCATTGTCAGTACTTTTGCGTTTCGCTTTGATTTCTGGAATTTGTCTAGGACTAGAACTTCGCCTGGAGGATTTAGGATCAACCATTGCGAACAGAACTTGAGTTTAAGCAATGTGGCCGGGTTTCTGGTGTTGAGTCACCGAGTATCATGAATGATACAATGAGCGGTGATAGAATAAGCAAAGCCTTGAATAAAACACGAATCTTAACTACGACTGCACATAAGTTTTGGTATTATGTCACTGGTTGGTATTATGTGCATAAAAGCATATAATCATGAATAGACTTATGAATTACATTCCAATATATGTGATTTCTGAAGCGAATGTCTTGGAAATCCCAGTTTTCAAGGGTAAAGGATTGTAGTTCTACACATCTATTTCCATATTTATTGAAATGTCATTTCCATTAAAACAATTAAATAAATTATGTTATGAATCCAGGCTTTCTCCCGCCAGGTTCCACACAGCGACCCGCGAGCCAGAGCGATTTCGGAGGGACGCTCGAGGGACGCGTGAAGGGTCCGGTGTGGGCGCCTGTTGGTGGGTCGGTTGGCTCCGGATGGGCTCACTTCCTGCCGAAACGATCCTCGAAGGAGTCGGAACGATCCTCGAAGGAGTCAAAGATATCCTCGAAGGAGTCGAAGGATCCCTGGTTGCCGTCGGCGGCGACGCCGTTGGTGACGGGCACGGCGTTGGACTCGACGACGCGGTATCCGTTATTGTCGGCGATGTACTTGACGAAGAACTTGTCTCCCTTGGGGGACGTCCAGCTGGAAGGGAAGGCAGGCGTTGAGAACGAGGTTCGGCGCCGTCTGGTGTGAGTGTGTTCAAAGGACGCAACGGGAGGGAAGGCCTCTTACCTGTAGGTTCCCTGCACCACCCGGTTGGTGATATCCTGGTCAATGTGGAAGTCATCGAAGTCCAGGTCCACGACGCTGCCGGGGCGGGCGGCGGCCACGGCCACGAGGGCGAGGAGAGCAAGCTGGGGAAAGAGCTTGTGGTGGGCATGGCTCGAACGGAAGGAGGAAAGGAAATACAGTAAGACTGTATCTCAACGACGTAGGCCAGGAGATCAAGCGGAAGTTTACGATTTAGAGATTTAAAGCATTTAAATGTGTCGGTGTACAAATATACACAAGATCTCTTTGTAACATCCCGAAACCCCTAATAGTTTAATACATTGTTTCATGCTGTATCTTGGTCGCTACAAAACACGATATCATACACTCTGTGTATATCTTTATCTATTTCTGAAGTTGATGTTTTCACTTGACCAAAACATATGAAGCCATAACTTACAACGAACTTCATCTTGACTGCTGAGTGTTGTACTGACTTGTCCCAGGCGAATGTGACTTTTATAAGGAGGTGTGTGGCCACGCCTTCCTGCCACGACTCGATCGTCTGCTTGAAGCAGACCTCGGCCTCGTACCAGGCCTGACCTTGCACTTGCTGTGCTAGCAGTTAATTGCAAATACGAAGGCGTTCTCCGTCGGAGAGTTACGGAACATCAGAAAAGGCGGCTTTTTGTTCATTTGTTTTATACATTGTCCTGTTTACGAGTCGGTGACTTCTTGTTATTATACTTGATGACTTATTACGTAATGCTTATGCAATAAAGTCTGCAAAACACTGGCATTGGAGTTGACAGTGAAATCAACTTGTTTGTAAACTGATGTGTTCAACGCAAGACAGGGATTCTTAGACAATGCATTCATTATTGCGAAAAGGCGATTTCTAAACTACGCTTAAAGAATAAATAATATGACTGACAAATCTAGATATCACTTGCTTATTGCAGAAGTGAGAATTGATATAAAAAAAGGTAATATATTAGCAGATTGACTGATATATGTAAAATCGAAGGGGGTAAAAGGACCCAGATCACTAAAAAAGGATATCTGTAACACATTTACTCCCATGCACACACATACACACACAAACATATCCTCCTCACACATACACATTCACACGCACACTCACTCACGCAGCACACACATTCACACGCACACTCACTCACGCACGCACACACATTCACATGCACACTCACGCACGCACACACACACATTCACACGCACGCACACACACACATTCACACGCACGCACACACATTCACACGCACGTTCACTCCCTTTCCCTTTCACGTAGAGAAAAGAGCAATCACGACTTCCTAAGAATATAAAAACCGTTCAAGAAAAATAAACATTTTTGATATTCATTTAGAGAGCGATATCCACAACGGTATTTAAAGATCTCATTCTATGTTTCCTCACACCTAAATGTACATGAAATCCTGTTCTATACTTCTTTAAAGATATGAAGACGTTGATTAACTGATAGTAAGATCGATAGTTTGATAAATAAACACAGACACGCAGATGTGCTCACATATACGCTCAGATAGACATTCCCAACCGATGCAATACGTGTGCTATATGTAAATCGTATCTGAAGTTGATTTCATTTTATTTATTTATTTTTTTTTTAGATATCAAGAGAAAAGAAACTTTGATTCATAAATACAAAACGTTTTAATTGATGGATCTATGAAACCGAATCTTAAAAATAGAAAAGTCAAACATGAACAAAATTTACTTAATACAAATACATATATCTACCTATCTATTATATATGTATACAAGTATATTTACACGCACGTGTGTATGTATATATGTATATATAAGTTATACATACATATATATGGTAGAAAATCCGACAATACACAGACTAGCTTTATTGAAAATGAAACCAAAAATCTTCAGGTCTGACCTGAAGATGGAATCCAGGAGGATTTCGAAACTTTTCTCACTTTCAGTAAATCTAGTTTGTGTACTGTGTTTTTTTATCATTCATATACATATATATACATACACACACATATATATACACATACATATATCTATATCTATATATACGAACACACACACTCACATACACACATATGTACACACACACATATAAGTATATATATACATATACATATATATGAAAAGGAATAATTGATACCGATGTGTATTGAATAAACTGTATTATGAAAATAAACGCGGCCAAATCCGAGTTAGCGTGACGCTAAACTCAACATCTTGATTACAAAAAATATACTTTTGTTTAATTAGGGCTAAGATATGAAGTTTCCGTCGTACGTACTGACCGGTTGGCGAGGGTAGGATCTCTTGGCTTACTGAATGTGGCTTTCATTGTCAGTACCTTTGCGTTTCGCTTTGATTTGCGAATTTGTCTAGGACTAGAACTTCGCCTGGAGGATTTAGGATCAACCATTGCGAACAGAACTTGAGTTTAAGCAATGTGGCCGGGTTTCTGGTGTTGAGTCACCGCGAATATTTCCAGTGAGGATAAAGTCGCAAATTGGAGATAGGTAATAGGTTATGTGCAAAGAAAATATAATAGTAAACAGCTAATATTGATTAGTTAATCATGAATGTTACAATGAGCGGTGATAGAATAAACAAAGTCTTGAATAAAACTCGAATCTTAACTACGACTGCTCATAAGTTTTGGTATTATGTCACTGGTTGGTATTATGTGCATAAAAGGATATAGTTATGAGTGAAATTATGAATTATATTCCATTACATGTGTGGTTTCTGAAGCGAACGTCATGGAAATCATTAATATATATTCATACATACACATGCACACACACATATATACATATATATCTATATATATATGAACACACTCACATACACACACATATCAATCTTAACTAAAACTGCTCATAAGTTTTGGTATTATGTCACTGGTTGATATTATGTGCATGAAACTATATTTTCATGAATAGAATTATGAATTACATTCCAATATATGTGTGATTTCTGAAGCGAACGTCTTGGAAATCCCAGTTTTCAAGGGTACAGGATTGTAGTTCTACACATCTATTTCCATATTTATTGAAATGTCATTTCCATTAAAACAATTAAATAAATTATGCTATGAATCCAGGCTTTCTCCCGCCAGGTTCCACACAGCGACCCGCGAGCCAGAGCGATTTCGGAGGGACGCTCGAGGGACGCGTGAAGGGTCCGGTGTGGGCGCCTGTTGGTGGGTCGGTTGGCTCCGGATGGGCTCACTTCCTGCCGAAACGATCCTCGAAGGAGTCGGAACGATCCTCGAAGGAGTCAAAGATATCCTCGAAGGAGTCGAAGGATCCCTGGTTGCCGTCGGCGGCGACGCCGTTGGTGACGGGCACGGCGTTGGACTCGACGACGCGGTATCCGTTATTGTCGGCGATGTACTTGACGAAGAACTTGTCTCCCTTGGGGGACGTCCAGCTGGAAGGGAAGGCAGGCGTTGAGAACGAGGCTTGGCGCCGTCTGGTGTGAGTGTGTTCAAAGGACGCCACGGGAGGGAGGGCCTCTTACCTGTAGGTTCCCTGCACCACCCGGTTGGTGATATCCTGGTCAATGTGGAAGTCATCGAAGTCCAGGTCCACGACGCTGCCGGGGCGGGCGGCGGCCACGGCCACGAGGGCGAGGAGAGCAAGCTGGGGAAAGAGCTTGTGGTGGGCATGGCTCGAACGGAAGGAGGAAAGGAAATACAGTAAGACTGTATCTCAACGACGTAGGCCAGGAGATCAAGCGGAAGTTTACGATTTAGAGATTTAAAGCATTTAAATGTGTCGGTGTACAAATATACACAAGATCTCTTTGTAACATCCCGAAACCCCTAATAATTTAATACATTGTTTCATGCTTTATCTTGGTCGCTACAAAACACGATATCATACACTCTGTGTATATCTTTATCTATTTCTGAAGTTGATGTTTTCACTTGACCAAAACATATGAAGCCATAACTTACAGCGAACTTCATCTTGACTGCTGAGTGTTGTACTGACTTGTCCCAGGCGAATGTGACTTTTATAAGGAGGTGTGTGGCCACGCCTTCCTGCCACGACTCGATCGTCTGCTTGAAGCAGACCTCGGCCTCGTACCAGGCCTGACCTTGCACTTGCTGTGCTATCAATCAATTGCAAATACGAAGGCGTTCTCCGTCGGAGAGTTACGGAACATCAGAAAAGTCGGCTTTTTGTTCATCTTTTGTTATATACATTGTTCTATCTATGTGTCGGTGATTTATTGTTATTATACTTGATGACTTATTACGTAATGCTTGTGCAATAAAGTATACAAAACTCTGGCATTGAAGTTGACAGTGAAATCAACTTGTTTGTAAACTGATGTGTTCAACTACGCTTAAAGAATAAATAATATGACTAAAAAATCTGGATATGATTTGTTTATTGCAGAAATGAGAATTGATATAAAAAAGGTAATATATTAGCAGATTGACTGAAATATGTGAAATCGAAGGGGATGAAAGGAAACAGATCACTAAAAAGGAAAATCTATAACACATTTACCCCCACGCACACACACACACACGAAAACAACAAAAACACATACCCTCCTCACACACACATTCACACGCGCACACACTGACGCACGCACACACATTCACACGCACACTCACGCACACAAAATGAATAAAAAACGGGGAAAAAGCTGTGCTCATTTTTTATATTTTTGTGAAATGTTAGTGCTAGTGCTTGGCCACAAAGGAGTTAATTAGTAGATCTTGTGACCTTACCCGATTTCACCTTTCCTTGAATTAGCGGGAAAAACGTATTTTTAACAATTACTATAATGTTATAAACATTAGTGACAGCAAAATAAGATAACGTAAAATATCTTCGTAAATCAATGAAAAGGATGAACTGACGAGACAGCCAGTACTCGTAACTGGCTTATTAGTGACTCAGCACAAGTGTAGCCATCTATGCCTTAAAATAATTAAACAAGTAAACTCACAGTGGGCATAGCATGGACGTACGTGCCATGCCCGTCGGCAATGGGTTAACTGACGGATCTGTGAAACCGAACGTTAAAAAAAAGAAGTCAGACATGAACAAAATTCACTTGATAGAAAATACTTATACATATATCTACCTATCTATCTATATGTAGGTATATAAGTGTATATATATACACACACACGTGTGTGTGTATGTATGTATAAGTATATATGCATATATAAATTATACATATATGATACAAAATCCCACAATGCACAGAATAGAATTATTAAAAATGAGACCAGAGTTTCGAAATCCTCAAGGATTCCATCCTCAGGTCTGACCTGAAGATGGAATGCAGGAGGATTTCGAAACTTTTGTCTCGCTTTCAGGAAATCTAGTTTGTGTTATGTGTTTTTTTCCTACCATAGTATCAACACGGTAGAGTGTTTTATCATTCATATATATTTTATCATTAATATACATTCATACATACACATGCACACACACATATATACATATATATCTATATATATATGAACACACTCACATACACACACACATATCAATTTTAACTACAACTGCTCATAAGTTCTGGTATTATGTCACTGATTGGTATTATGTGCATGAAACTATATTTTTTCATGAATAGAATTATGAATTACATTCCAATATATGTGTGATTTCTGAAGCGAACGTCTTGGAAATCCCAGTTTTCAAGGGTAAAGGATTGTAATTCTACACATCTATTTCCATATTTATTGAAATGTCATTTCCATTAAAACAATTAAATAAGTTATGCTATGAATCCAGGCTTTCTCCCGCCAGGTTCCACACAGCGACCCGCGAGCCAGAGCGATTTCAGAGGGACGCTCGAGGGACGCGTGAAGGGTCCGGTGTGGGCGCCTGTTGGTGGGTCGGTTGGCTCCGGATGGGCTCACTTCCTGTCGAAACGATCCTCGAAGGAGTCAAAGATATCCTCGAAGGAGTCGAAGGATCCCTGGTTGCCGTCGGCGGCGACGCCGTTGGTGACGGGCACGGCGTTGGACTCGACGACGCGGTATCCGTTATTGTCGGCGATGTACTTGACGAAGAACTTGTCTCCCTTGGGGGACGTCCAGCTGGAAGGGAAGGCAGGCGTTGAGAACGAGGCTTGGCGCCGTCCGGTGTGAGTGTGTTCAAAGGACGCAACGGGAGGGAAGGCCTCTTACCTGTAGGTTCCCTGCACCACCCGGTTGGTGATATCCTGGTCAACGTGGAAGTCATCGAAGTCCAGGTCCACGACGCTGCCGGGGCGGGCGGCGGCCACGGCCACGAGGGCGAGGAGAGCAAGCTGGGGAAAGAGCTTGTGGTGGGTTTGGCTCGAACGGAAGGAGAGAAGAGAGTAGAGCAAGATTATATCTCGCCCTCAACGATGACGATCAAGCAGGGAAAATCTTAGCAACAATATTATATAACACAAACATATACATACATATATATGCATGTATAGATACACACACACAGGTATGCGTGAATATATATATATATATATATATATATATATATATATATATATATATATATATATATATATATATATTCATATATATACTGAGGTATATATATATGTGTGTATGTGTGTGTATGTATAAATGTATGGTCAGCGAGGGGTCAGAAGAGTAGGCTATTTGCTATTTTTGGCACCTCAAGACAACGAATTCATGAACTACATATGTTTCTACAGTTACTGTCTGCCCTAACAAAGGCACCTATAACTTACAACGAACTTCATCTTGGTTGTTGTTTGAGTGTTGTACTGACTTGCCCCGAGCGAAGTGAGGCTTTTATACGACCTGCATGGCCACGCCTTCCTGACATGACCTCGCTCGTCTGCTTGAACCAGACCTCGGTCTCGTACCTGGCCTGACCTTGCACTTGTAATGTAATCAATTTAAAAGACGAGGTTGTTTTTCAGTCTGTTAAAGGAGAAACGATAGTTTGTTGTTGATTGCGTATCATACTTAATGTGATGAATGTTATCTAATAAGTTTTTCTTATCGTGCTCGATGACTCATTAGCATATTGGATGATCTAAGGGAAGCTTATGAGATGATGTGTTCAAACCCTTGGTATTTGAGT